AAAAAAAAAAAAAAAAATATAAATATATACATATAAATATACTTACCAATTGTATGTTTCTTGCTCGCTTCGATGCAACAATAAAACACACAGTGCGGCAAAGCACAAATGTACAAGCTCGGTTGTGCCTTGCGAGGGCGCTACGATGACTTTTTGGGCTCGTATTATCACCCCAAGGACGTGTACGCTCGTAGCTCGGACATAAGCCGCACGAAGATGTCGTTGATGCTCGTGCTTGCGGGACTTTATCCCCCTTCGGCCGTGCAAAGCTTTCGCGACGGTCTTAACTGGATGCCCGTGCCGTTTGTCACAGTTCCGAAAGAATTGGATTTTCTCCTGCTGATGTTTGACAAGCCAAGGCTAGTATAATTATATATGTGCGCGTACAAAGTGCCAATTGTTCCTTCTTGTCGGTGCACCTTTTTTTTTTCTATCTTTTTTTTTCTATCTTTTTTTTGTTATAGAGATCTGGTGGGGCTGGCGAAAGTAGTAAAAAAAATGCATGCTCTTTTTTACAGGTACACACGGAAATTGCACGCCCACCAGACGGCTAGTGCAAAAAAATCATCGCCAGTGGCTCTGAAGGTGAAGGAATTTTTCCGGGATACCGACGTGCATGTTTTCAAAACTGAATCCAGCCATTCAGCTGCCTTGTTGTGCTACAACGTTTTAAACACTCACGTGAGAATTTGTAACGTATATTCGTGTTGTTATTGTAGTTAAAAAAAAAAGAAAAAAAAAGAAAAAAGTATTTAATCCAATGTAGAAAGCTGCAAAGTGTCAGCTGCCTGAATGGTATTCGGATGACATATTTGACAGTCTGCGGGAGACCGTGATTGAAAAGCTGGACACCATGTCTGGGACACTGGAATTGAAGAAAATGTTAATCGGACCTTTGATCAGAAAATTCCTCGAGAATATTAACGTGTACGACGAAATGACGGATCCTAGAAAAATATATCTCTATAGTTGTCACGATTTTAACGTGGCTGCCTTTTTGAGAGCCCACGAGGTGGAAGACATGAAGTATCCAGATTTCGGTAGTGCAGTGGTCGTGGAAAAATTGAGAGACCCTCAGGGAAAACTTCACGTGAGGGTAGGAATTATTTTTCAAAATTCTCATACCTTTCTATGTTTAAATTACATTTTTATTTTATTTTTATTTTATCGACAGTCCTGATTACAATTCGTCAAAAAGTTGTTATGTTTTAAAAAAAAATTTTTTTTTTTTTTTATATCATTGTAACTTACAACAGCAACGAAAGCCTTAAATGTGTTTACAAGCGCCGTAATGCGTTTTCTACAAAACTCGAGTTTCTTAACTATTCTTTTTACACCTTTTTTAATATCAGTTAAGTAAAATGATTAAAGATGGTGAATTTTATTTTTAGCAATTCACAAGTAAGACTTACGTAACTAAGATAACAAATTTTAAACTGCTCTGAAAAACACAAACTTGACTAAAATTTACGGGTATTAAAGTATACCTAAGTTTCAATGCATCAGTAATGGGGTAAAAACTATTTTTTTCAAGGTGTTAAAATTNAAAAAAAAAAAAAAAAAAAAAAAAAAAAAAAAAAAAAAAAAAAAAAAAAAAAAAGTAGCCTTGATAATATTTTATTTCTTGGTACTTATAAATAGCTATTCCGTCTTACCATACACATTTCTCGATTTGTTTTGTAAATCTTGCAGATGCTGGCTTGGACGGGTCAGGACGACGATTTCTTCGCGGTGAAATTAGGGAAATGCGGAGAAATTTGTCCGATCGAGGATTATCTGAAAATCGTCGAAAACACAGTACCGTCCGATGAAGAATTGGACGAAATTTACAAAGATTGCATCGTCGACGTAAAAAAAATCGATCTCAACCACGTTTAACTATTTTTTTACTCAAATAATAAACAAGGTACTTACGTATGAGTATTATCTCCTCGCAATGTAGAAATTATATACTTTAAATTAAGAAAAAAAAAAACACTATTTTACTATGCTGTAAAATATCATTCAGTATAGATAAAAATAAAATCACGTAACCCTCGTGTCGGAGTGTAATAATAAACTCGTTCAAGGACGCGTTCTTATTTGAATCACAGCACACTTGCACGGAAGAACGAAGTTATGTAACGTTTATTTGCTAGACTTAACAATCACTTGTTCAGAGACATGTATATGTGTCGATAGATGTTTGAACTGCGACACAATATCATGTATATACACTTACACGTCTGTATTTAATTATACCTGATGTAGAACCGTATACAGTATAGAATCGTGTCACAGTCAGTTGTGAAGTAACAATGGCGTCATGGATATTATTTTTATTTTAAGGCGCTTTCCGATGTGAAGGTGAAAATCGATCATCTATTCAAGCCTTATGGCAAAACGTATTGAAATAGTAGCCGCTTCGTAGTTAATGCTCGAGGTTGACTCTATAGCGTCCCATTGAAACGTATACCCTTGCGTAGGTAAACAGTTGGCACGTTATCTGAGATATAGAAAAATTCTTGTTTTATTATTCTATAACGTGCCTACGGAAATAGAGACGCTGACACTGCCTGTACGACACAGAGTCGCGATATTATTTTTAAACGCCCAATTTTATTGTTACGGTGATAAAATATGAGCACATACCTACGAGTACAGTATTGCGATGTAATAAATCTGTGGCCATTTGCTTCACGGAAGAGATATGAAATATTGAATAGAGTGAAAAAAATGTTATCCTTAACACTTTAATCGTATAACGTATAGTTGTAACGTACGTAAAATCACACAGCACGAGGTGTTTGAATACAAGGATGAAAGGTCCAAAAGGCCAGCTCGTAAATAATGTTTTAATAAAAATAATTAGTGTAATTAAATAAAAAATTTAACAGGCAAAAAGTAATCAAGTAGAAAACAGCTCTACTGGCAACTGTTTTTTTTTTTTCAGTTCAAATCAATTAAAAAACAAAAGCAACCGCAACATAAGCAACAGTGGCAAAGTTCGTCCTTGCTTGGCGTACATGATGTAAAATGGACTTATGGTCGGGGTAACAGAATATGGTCATCAATGGGAGGGAATAAAAATGCCTAAATAAAAAAAAAGTTGTGCCACATACATACATGTGCAACATCTGCATTGGATATGTGTCATAAATATTCCTGAAGCGCAAAAACTCGCATGTTTAAAGAAAAATAGTTTTTGAAGTTTTGTTAGTAAACTGCTATATGGTTGAAGCTCAGCATTCGTTCCCACGCATATATACATATATGTTGTCGTTTGGGGCCAAAGCGTGGGTGTGCTGCTGCTGCTATCTCTCTCTTTCTACCTCCAAATCTCAATATATATATACATACAAAAAACCCGTTGCCATGCTAATATCGGTAACAATTCTAATACGATACCATATAATTCATTTCTACTTATTAGAATTTTTTTTTTTTTTTTTTTTTACTTCCGATGTCTTTTTTCTATGAAAAATTCAACCCACCCCGTACGTGTATACGAATAAACACCTAGCCATGATAAATAGCTCGAATTCATTGGCTTCTCCTGTGAATAGTAAATAATAATACAAGGAGATCTTTCGTTACAATACACCCAACACACAGGTAAGTATATATACACATAATATACCCTTCGAGCGCACGTGCATGTTTTATAAACGCCCGACCTCCACGTCGTTACGCAAACCAATGATTTACCTTCGCTGCCGTTGCTGCTCTATAGGTGCTCTATAAGTACATATATTGCGACACGTCAAGACACAGAGTTACACGTGCGCGTTCGACTCGTGTGCGTTTCATTTTCCCATCTCTCGAAGCACCATCACAAAGGCTACAGGAGAAAGGAATTCATACTAATAATTTTTGTACAAGTTAAGCTAGTTTGGCATTGGATCGAGTGCAAATTATATATGTATACTTGTAAGTTTGTTAGGTGTGAAGGAAGACGTTATTTTTGTTTTTTTGTTTTTTTTCGTCCCCCACAAATCGGTCAAAGATATGAAGTTTTCTTGTTCACCTGTTACGTGTACATATAAAGGTGGTTTATCGCGAATAAATATATACATATCCGTTACAGTTTCGAAATAATAACATAATGTTTTTGTTGGCTGTAAAACTTTGAGCTCTCGGCTATCGATGTACATCCCTAAATACTCCTAAGCTCGGAAAATTATTGTGCAAGCAGTTCCCAAAGCAAGCAAATAACAATTGCTTGAATGTACATAGCTTTTACGGAGGGATCGCTCCAATTCGAAAAATCGCGCAGTGACAATGCGACGAAACAATAACTCCATGGTCCTTTTGTCTCGTCAACCTCGGCTTCTGTCAACCCCCTTATTTATCCCTCCTTCGTTGGACCCGCAAAACTAATGCACGTTGCCGAAAGGAAAAACAAACAAAAGCACGTGTTGCGCGAGTGCTTATTCGAATTTCACGTGCTGTTGCGGGAGCGCTCGTTATGCAGCTTTACGCGCTCTGACGAGGATTACGCAAACAAACGATCCTCGAGTGGAACCGGAGCATTTTTTTCACTGCGCCACTGATGCCAATCACGTACTTATATATCATCCCCGTTAACGAATTTTTCATGTAAAAGATAAAAATTACGAGTTCTCATGAAATGCCGAACAAAACGCATATTCTCGTGTCGTACGAGCTGTTAGTACCAAAAAAAAGCTACCTACCCTCCAAAAATAAATTGGTGAATGGTCCATAAATAAAAACGAGCTGGTGGTAAAATACCGTATTGCAGTGGTCTGAATACCAGTGGGTATTTAATTGAATCATTTTTTCAAAATATACACGTGGACAAGGCAACGAACTGGCAACGCATCTCAAGTAGCTATGCGCCTTTATACGAGGATTTGAAAAAAAATTTTTTAATAAAATTTGAATACTCAGTTATGCAGGTCGTCCAGTTTTTTTTCCTCTTTACGTGCTATATTACTCTACTTGTGGGTAAAAAATATTTGTCGACGTGCATGCGGTAACGTAAAAAAAAAAAAAATCAACTCTCGCAGGTTAATGAACGCTTACTGCTGTTAATATCTGTTGTGTACCGTAAACTTCAATAAAATCGTCAATTATAGTTCCAGAAATATACTCGTTATTTCCCGTGCGTCAGCTGGTCAACGATACGTATTACATATCTTGAATTCAATGATATAAATAGCTCGACCCTAAGAACCGTTATTTCCCACATGAACTCGTTTTCGTTAAAAGTACGTCATCTCGCGATGCAAATATAGCTGTACAAAGTAGGAAATGCCGGACTACATTGACAATAGCATGACCCGACTTGACCTCAGTTTCGTCGGTTGTCCGACCGTTTGGTATTCCCACGCGCGACAGCAATTTATATGATAATCACGTACGGTGTCAGACGTGGCTAAGGAAAAATAAAACAAAGTGTCTTTGATTAAAATTTTTTGCATTTAGTTTTTTTTTTTTTTTTTTTTTTTTTTTTTTTTTTTTTTTTTTTTTTTTTTTTTTTTT